CTGGACTGGGCAGAAGGAAATGGGAGGACATCTGGCCATTCCCCTCCCTTGGGCACCTGAACGTTCCCATGGGCACCCCTTTCTGCCCAATCTTGAACCTCCCAGAGGTATATCCTCCCAGAAATGTCTTCGGGCAGCTCTTCCTAGTACCTCATTTAAATTCTTCTTGCGATGGGTCTAGCCTTACTGAGCACCACGAGTAGAAGAAATTTCCAGGGGTGAAATAAGAGCATTTTCAGGGCTGAAAGATAATGAGCTTCCTTTCCCAAGTGTTCTGTGTCGAGGAGCAGATGGGCTTTACATCAGCGTAGAAGCCAGAAGAGACATGGGCCTTATGGGACACAGAGCAAACAAGAGACTCACATCCAGTGCAGCCTGCGCTGTGACAAGGCCTCCTGACCAGCAAGGGAGAGGGATCGGGGGAAGGAGGGAGGAGAGGAAAGCGGTTTCAGATGAACTCTGTCCCTGCGGGCAGCCTGTTGGTCAGTCAGGCAGAAGTCTTGAGTGCCTTGTCCAGGCAGACCCTGGTCCTGGGGTCAGGAGTAGGGGGCAAGCAGAAGATCTCTTGCTCCAGGGAGTTCTCAGCCTCCTTGCTTTCTGGGAGAAGGGCCCATAAGTACATGTGCATGTACACACACACACACACACACACACACACACACACACACACACCAGTGTACAGAAACCACACTGAGGAACACACAGGCCAGCACGGAGTGAGTAGAGCAGCTGGCCAGAAAGCCGAGCTGGTTACGCTAGAGGGTTTGGAGTGCCCAGAGCTGGGTGGGGTCACCTCTAGAAGAAGCTGATTTTGGTGCAAGGTGTTGAATGCAGGGAGAGGGTTTGGCTGAGAAGAAGAGAAAGAATGTTTCAGGTGCGGTGGGTGTGACCCATTTGAAAGCTTGGAAGGTAGAAGAGGATGAGTCATCCCTGCAAGGGTTGGCCCATCCCCGCCGGAGAGAGAAGCCCATGTATCCCAACAAAGGAGCTTCCTTCCATAAAGCTTTGGTAGCCAAGAAAGCTTGCACTGCCCCTGTGACACCAGAGAGAACCAGACCCTCGTCATAGGCAGCAAAGGCAAGCGGTATCCTGGGACACTGACGATCTGAGTGGTGGGTTTTTTGAGATGGCTTTTCACCCTGAAACTCTGACCCAGATGAGACAAGCTGTGTGGACAGAGCAGCTGGAATTGATGGTACGCTGGAGAAAGCAATATGTTCTCTGAGACCTTTGCTCTTTGACCTCGGGGTTCTGAGGGTTGACAGATGCCTCCTGGGGTCAAGGCACAAGTTTGTCTGGTATCCAGCTCTGCTGAGAAGCCGTCACCCTTTGCTTCTGGCGTATGCACCCTTATGGAGGAAACAGTGGGAATGCGGGCGCTCAGCTACAAGAGTCCGGGGTGGTTCTGTGGGGTGAGCTGGGTGCTGGGATCACCTCCCCTTACTCCCCCTGACACCAAGACTCAAGGAGGTAGATGTGCCTCTTCTCAGCTCCTCTCAGATCCTCCATCTTCCTGGATTACCCCACCCAGCAGGACGTCTTTGGGTGGGAGAAGGGCCTGATTGAGTAGCCTTCAAGGACCCTGGTCCCATGCTACAATCTGGGGGACATGGAGCCTCCAGGCATCAGGCACCTAAGCCCCTCAGCCATGAGGGGTGAACTGGTTGACAAAAAGGACCCGCTCAGTGCAAGTCTGGCCTGGCCCCAGACAGAGCCATGCCCTGTGCCCAAGATCCCAGGGAAAGGAGAGACACGATGCCTGCTTCAGTGCCCGAAGTACATGACGGTGGGTACTGGCACAGTCAGATGGAGAACTGACTACACCTCACAGTGCCCCTGTTCTGAGGAGCCAGGGGTGATGGGACCAGGTGGAGTTAATCAGGAAAGGCTTCCTGGAAATGAGTTGTGAAGAAGTCAGGGGACTTGACAGAGAAGGGAAAGTTGTCAGAGCTATTACCTTCACTGTCATGGAAAACCCCCATGTTGTTGCTGTTGAACCTGACTTTCCAAGGGTAATGTGTACCAGCCAGACACCCTAGGGTCAGGAGAGGGGAGCAGCACTCTTATTAAAAGAGCTTACCTCACCTCCTACCTGCATGTTTTTGGTCATCGGGCACAATGCAAAGTGTGACCTCAAGTAGGTAACTTCTCTGGACTCCTCTTAGACCCTACCAGAACCTCTGCCAGAGAAGCAGTGCTGGCTGGTGTGATGGCAGCCTCTTTGTCACAAGGAAGCCAAACAAGGCATCTTAAGGTGGGAGTCAGGTGATCTTAACCCCAATTGCAGATGGATCTTAGGGATTGCCTTCAGGAGCCACCTGGAAGGGCCCGGAGGCCTTGGTCTCACCAGAAGTGAGTGCCATAGCCCACACCTGTCATCAGTAAAGTCACCACTGGGACAAAAGTACTGGCTTTTGGAATGATAGAGCATTCCAGAGGTCTTATTCACCCCTGCCTCCATGGCAGAGAACTCTGCCTCCCACATGGAGAAGATCATGTGAGAGGGAGGCGGGCAGGTGCAGGGCATGGAGGAGATGCTTCATCTGATGACCAGCAGTGATGTCACTGTCACTGCTAACAGATTCCCTTTTGAGAAGAAGTGGAGACCCCATGGGAGCCTGCCTTCCACTAAGCCTCCTGGGTTATGCCTCCCCTAGCAGCAGGCCTCCCTGGGGCTCCATAGAACTCTTTGTCTGTCACCATCCGGATTTTCCTTCTAGAAGCTGCTGGCTGACCCGCAGCCGTCCTTGGGTGAGACGTCCCTGCTCCCGGGCCAACAGCCAAGTGACCTCTGGCCCGTGAAACCCTGGAAGGGATGATAGAAGTAGGCTGGATGGAGGAGAGTCAGACGAGACCAGCCGTCAGCCACCTCAGGGCCCGACCGTGCATGCCTAGGGTCCTGCCTATAGCCTCTTCCCTGGTGTTAGCTGGTTCTGGATCTCAGCCCATGAGACTGCTTCTAGACTCCTCCTGACAAAGCGCAGCCTTTCCAGGGAGGGGCAGCTTCCCGAGAAAGGAAGAGGAACCAGCTGCCTGCACTCAGTAGGGAGCTCGGATGAAGTCAGAGGCTCAGGGAGAGTCCCCTCAGGAGCCAGGCCTGGGCCCGCAGGACACCTCTGGGAGGACCCTGAGGCAGGCAGCAAAGGAAGTGGTGGTGTAGGCTTTGATGTCTCCCCATCTTCCTTGCGAACTTCTATGGATGCCATGGGGCACGCATGGGTCCCTGTAATCACACAGCCGTGGAACGCTGGCACTGTATGGGGCCTTCGGGGCATAGAGAGGCCAACCCCTTCTTTTTACAGAAGAAACAGCTGAGGCCCAGAGAGAACAAGTGACTTGGCCAAATGTCAGAGCCAAGACCAATGTCAACAGCTCTGGGCTCCCAGGGCAAGTTCTCTCTGCCACAGCCGATAACACTAATGGCCTATTGATCCTCCATGATGGCGGGGGAGGGGATGGGAATCAGGGCCGGTCACCCCTCCTGTGTGCAATGGGGCAGTCCTCTAGGTGGCTTCAGACAGAAGAAACGGCACCGAGCAGAGACACCTGGCACATTCCAAAGCTCCCCCCCCCCCCCCCGGTATTCCTTCTGTCACAACTACCCCCCCCCCCCCCCCCCCACCCATTACCCTAAAAAGGCTTAGGAATCTGAGTGGGTGTGGCAGAAGGGAAGGAGCTAATTTGGCCAGGTAAGATCACTGTCAAACCCTTCCCCCTAGATGGGGCTTCTGGTGCTGGAGTCTGACCATCACTTCTGAAAAGAAGTGCCCATTCCCCTTAGGAGGCTCTCACTGGATCCCACTTTCCGTTTTTCCCCAGGAAGCTCATCATGTAAAAAAGTGTAGGGCAAGCCTTGCTCTGGACGCCCAGGCCATAGAGCCCTGGCTTCCCCTCATGCAGATCCCAGTGTAGGGAATGGGACAGCAGGCAGGATGTGACTCAGGGTCCAGACAGCAGAGAAGGATGTGTTTAGAGGTAGAAGAGATCACCCTGGGCAAGGCTGGACAGAAGAGGCTTCCCCAAAGGGATGAGATCCCGAGCTTGGCCTTGGAAGATACGTGAGATCTGAATGTTGTGGCCGAGAAGGGAAGGCAGACTCGGCCAGGGGCATGGTGTGAGCAAAGTCATGGCCATGTCCCAGTCAGCTGTGTTTCAAGGACAGTAAGGCAGCCAACAGACCAACTTTTGCAGAGTTGGGGGACTGTCCTTTAGGGCCCACCTGCCACCTGGTGAAGGGGAGAAGGGAAGGCAGCCCCACCAGGAGCCCAAAACCCAGTTCGGATTTCTATGATTCAAAGCCATTTTGCCGCTAATAACCCTAATGACACTCTGTCCTCTTACTGAGCCTGTCATTTGTGGGTCTCCAAACACTCTGAAAACATTAATTAATCCTCACTGGGGCCTTTGAGGTTGGTGGCCACCCCCCTTCCCCATCTGGAGCGTGTGGGAGATGAAGGAAGGGACAAGAGACCGTGTCATCGCCAGCAGCTGGACTGAGATTTGGAACCAGAGTTTTGCCCTGAATTGGCCTCTCATCAACTCTCACTGGTCTGTGGCTCTGACCTCAGAGCTCTGGACCTGGAATGCTGAGATCCTGCCAGTCCTCCCCCAGTGGGGAGCTTATCCTTGTGGAATGTGGATTCGTGATTCCCCAGAACCGAATGGCGGTGCTCCATGGCCCTCCCGGCCAACTCCTGGCTTGTAGGTGTCAACGACCCCAAGCAGCAAGGAGACATTCAGTCGGCCCAGGAGGGGCTCGGCCAAGATTTGCAGAGCTGTCCCTGCAACAGTCGGCCTGGGCCCTTTCTTGGCCCTGACCGTGGAGGAGGTAGAGTAGAGAGACAGAGACAGCAAGCAGATGATGTATTCGTTATCCTCCTCCTTCAAGAGCTCAGCCCTGGTCTCTTCCATGGGGCATGGTGGACCCAGATACCGTGGGGAGGAGAGGTGAGTGAAGAGTATGGCCACCCCTGTCCTAACCCCTTGCCTTTGTCCTCAAGGTTCCATGTACGATGGCTTGGCCGACAATTACAACAACTATGGGACCACCAGCCGGAGCAGCTACTACTCCAAGTTCCAGGCGGGGAATGGCTCGTGGGGATATCCGGTAAGGAGCTGCTTCCATTCAAAAAGACCCAGAATGTTCGTGAGGATGGTTTACGGTTTGTGGCGGAGCAAACCTGCATTGGTTGCTGAGAAGAGTGACATGGGGTGGGAAGGGGCTGCACTGGTCCCTGAGGTGAGGCCCAGCAGCCCCCACCAGGTCCTTTTGCTTGCCCATTACTTCGTGGATGGCTCTCAGTATAGTCTGCTGTTTGGGCTGATTGGATATTTCCAGATGTCTCCAATGAGAACATTTTAGAAAAAGCATTAAAAAAAGGGCATGTGTTTTAAGTCCATTTTCTAGAATGTCTGCTATGATATGGATTTGAGAGGGGTTTGAATTCTTAAGTTCCATTTATGGATTAACTTAGAGATCTTGAGGAAAATCCTAGAGGGGGCCTTCTGCTCAGTATGTGCCAATGACCAAGGACGCTGCTCTAGAAGTCCCCTGGGGCTGGGAGAGCTTGTCCCCTGCATTACATGCTGGAGTGGAGTGTTGAGTTTGTAAGTTGGACAGGGGCACCTGGCCAGCTCAGTTGGTAGAACATGCAATGCTTGGTCTCAGGGTCCTGAATTTGAGCCCTATGTTGGAAAAATGAAATAATGTGCATGAAAAAAAAAAAAAAAACTGATGATCATCAGTTTTAAGGGTTTTTTTTTTTTTTTTTTTGTTTTTTTTTTTAACTAACAAAGGTAGAGTTATTCTAGATCTTTTAATCCTGGCCCTGTCAGTGTCTTTCTGTGTGATTTCCAGCTACTATGCCCACCCATCCGTTATGAACAAATATTTATTTAGCCCTACCCCTGCACCAAGGTCAATGGTAAATGTTCTGGTTTAAATATATAAGCCACTGTAGGAGTTTTCCTCTTCTTCAATATCAGAGGTATTGGGCTAAATGACACCTTGGTTTTCTCCCTGTCTCCAAAATCTGTGACTTTCACTTATTTTGCTAATTCCAACATTAGCCTGTATGGTTCTTGGGAATTCTTTTGTGAGACATTATGCACATGGAACGAAAGGCTGCTTTTCTGTGGGAATCTGGGGCACTGTCTTCTTGGGGCTCCAGGCTTCAGTGGCATTTGCTTTGAGTTCACATTGTTTACAGGTATCACCCCTGAGTTTTGGGGTCCTGAGCAAGGGAGAGGGTGGGTGGTTTAGGAGTCAAGGGTTCTTTTCGTTGTCAGTTTGATCCTTCCTTCCTAAGTTCTTGTTGGGGCTAATTGGGGAGTATTCATCTTTCTTGTATGTTCCAGGTTAGGGACCAAAAGGAAGAGTTAACCGGGTTTCCTGCAAGTTTATTTCCCTCCCATTTTTCTAATTTTTGATGTCAGTTGATTTCCTCAGTACAACATATAGACAGTTGGCTGAGCCCAGAAGCTGACAGATCAGGCACAGATGTGGATAAAGTGCTTTGACATCAAGAATGATGACCAGACCAAATCTGACTTAGAGAAAATGACTTAGTAGAAAGGCTTATATGAGACCCAGGGAAGGCAGATCCCTGGACTGCACCAGCAGTAGGAATGAATAATCCTGCCGACCCGCTGGATGGTACAGGTCTTTACATATATTTCGTTACAATTCAGAGCCTCTAAAGCTTAGTTGGGTTAGTCCAGTTTCTACCACTCCATGGCTCTGTGACTTTAGATAAACTTCTTAATTTCTCAGAGTCTCAGTCTTCTCATCTGTAAAATGGGAATGAGGATATCTGTGTGTATACTTCACCCACAGGTTGATGTTACGTTAACAGGGAAGTGTTATCAGATGGGCAGTGTGAGGTCATTACACGTGGAAATTTGTAACCAAGAGCTGCAAAGGAGCTCCTTCAGGGGTCTTTCTTTAGAAAAAAAATCTCCACATGGCCCATGTTTGGCATTTCTTCTAGTTAATCAACTCCGTCTTCAATAATCTCAACAGCCTTTGATGCTCCCAAACTGCCCCCACCCCTCCCTGTGCCTGTTTTCTGACAATCCATGAAAATTCCTTCCCTTTCCCGCGCCCTAAGGCCCAGCCCTCCTTGCTCCTTCTTCACTGGCGGGACTTCAGACATGACTCATGTCAGGGTAGCTGCTGAGGCACGTCCTGTCTCCTCTCAGCTCAGGGGAGGCTATGGGAACGGTGAAGAGCTGAGCACACACGAGGATTTGGCAGAGGGAGGGGGCGAGGTAGGGAGGAAATGGAATAATTGATATTGGAGCCAGGCATATAATCAGCCAAGGACGGGGCAAAACCAAGTGGGGCCAGGACTTAGGGAGAAGAAGAGAGGGACAAAAGGTAATAGAGCTCAGTGGCGGTGAGATAATCTACGTCTGAGGGATTTTCCCATGGCTGGTACAACTGGCACAGGACCATTTCCTCCCCTCCCTTCTGGTGAAACCAATATGGCGGCACAAGTCAGGGAATGAGGGGAGCAGGCTGTGCTTCGTCTGCACAAGCCTCGTCAGCAGGTTTCAGAAGTTGCTGAAAGCTGCTGAAGGACCGTTTTCCCTCAGATACTTCACGTCCATGCCGTCAGCCAATTTGCATTGAGCAACTCCGGGGCAGGGCAGGGCAGGGAGCGAGACGCGCACTGTGGACACCCAGCTGAGGAGACTCACTCTTCGCCCTCAGTGAACTTGCAGTCGAGTTGGGAGAAGCGTGGAGGTAGGAGGACAAGTTGAATGCAGGCAGGAGTTTCTCTCCTGGACTACTGCAGCAGTTCTGCGGTTGCTCAAAATATTTCCAGACCCTCTAAGAAAAAAATTTTTAAACACAGCTATCAGTGTCATTTTAGGAGCCGTATAATATAAGAAAACCAGCCTCCTTTCTTTACTGTCATGACCTGTGTTTCACCAGAAACAATATTAGCCACTTTGAGCCCCTCACTCCCCAGATTTGGCTCCAGTTCCAAATATCAAATGAACTTCAAATAACAAAGATCGGTCACCATGAAGTATATATGTTATTTAAATATGCAAAGGATCTGCGGGCAGTTCCCAAATGAAAGTTCTAAAAATCTTTAAAAAGCAATGGTGTTACCTTGTGATTTGACCTTATATTCTATATCAGCAATAGTCTTCTAATTTAAATAGACGTAAAACTATACATTTATAGTCGATGATCACTTATATCAAAAATTAAGAAAACTGAACAGAGAGAGTCTTTTTTTTTTAAGATTTTATTTATTTATTTATTTGACAGAGATCACAAGTAGGCAGAGAGGCAGGCAGAGAGAGGGGGAGCAGGCTCCCTGCTTAGCAGAGAGCCCGATGCGGGGCTCGATCCCAGGACCCTGAGATCATGACCCGAGCCGAAGGCAGAGGCTTTAACGCACTGAGTCACCCAGGCGCCCCAGAGAGAGTCTTATCATAAAATAAAACTTAAAACAAAGTTAGTCTGATACACAAAAAGCATCAGGGACTTTAAAGAAAGGGGAAGATTGATACAAAGAAAGTCATCGACCCAGTCAACTCTCTGTCGGCCATTCCAACCTCCTCCTCCTTCAGAGATGTGGCAGGAGCCCCAGGGTGGCACAGACCTCAGGGAGAGGGAGGAGTTAGGGGAGGTGGGGCAAAGGATGGGGCACTTTTTAGTCCCGCTGCTCAGTATCTCGGATCAACGACTGTGCCGTGCTCTGGTTCTCAGAACCAGACTAGTGAAATATTAGGGCCCCAGGGAGGCTGACACTTTACAGCTGAGGATATCCAGGTCCGGAGAGGGTAAATTAGCAAGAGTCACATAGCCGCTTAATAGAACAGCAGACTAGACCCCTGGCCTCCTAACTCCTAATCTGATGGAGTTTTGCTCTCATTACTCCAGACTTTCGATAGTCTCTTTATCTGAGGTTTTTGTTTTGGTTTGGTTTTGGTTTTCGCATCTCAATATTTTAATACCACAACCACGTTTTAGGGACCTGCAAGAAACGTAGCTACAAGTTTAGATCCCTCCATTTCCTCCCTCTCCTGTCCCCCAATCAAGCCTACTGTTTCCCTGAGCAGCCAGTCTCACTCAAAAGCAGGAGAGCAGCCATTTTTTCCTTCCTAAACTCAAGCTGGAATCCCTCAGCTCTAGGGGTTAATGGGGGTCAGGGCAGAGGCACCAAATAAAATGCAATAAAATGCAATACTTGGGACATATTTACACTAAAATGTTACTTGTTGTTTACCTGAAATTCAGATCTGGTATTTTTATTTGCCAAATCTGGCAACCCTAGGTCAGGGTATCTTCCCACACATTCCCCATATTAAAAAGAGGGCTTCTGGGAGCGCCTGGGTGGCTCAGTGGGTTAAAGCCTCTGCCTTCGGCTCAGGTCATGATCCCGGGGTCCTGGGATCGAGCCCCACATCGGGCTCTCTGCTCAGCAGGGAGCCTGCTTCCTCCTCTCTCTCTGCCTGTCTCGCTGCCTACCTGTGATCTCTATCTGTCAAATAAATAAATAAAATCTTTAAAAAAAAAAACAAAACAAAACAGGACTTCCTTAAGTGATCCTCTCTTAGGCCAGAGACGCAAACAGAATTACTTCAGGCCATAGCCACTGGTGAGAAAGTAGAAGCTGTTTGACTCCTATTAGGGGACCTTTTATGAGTCCCTTGAATACCTTCCTCTGGGTCAGCTGAGACCAAGTTGAGGGGAGTAGAGAGCTCGAGGCCCTGGAAGGCATAGCCCTTCCATTCCAAAGCTGAAAGTGGGTTCCTACAACAGGGCTTTGTCCTAGCTGAGGCAAGTGGACAATTTTGATTTACAGGGAATGTTTCTGGATTAAGATAATTATCTCCTTTCCTTCCATCTCCAGCTTGAAAAGGTTTTCCTACTTACAAATCAGGCATTCAGGTCTTCTGGGAGGTCACATCAAGTAAAATGTTCTCCGGTTAGGGACTGAACTAGCCCCTCCCGCCCAGGACCTGATTTCTAGGAGAGGGAACCCATGTGGGCATCGTCAGCCAGGAGGTCTGGGCTAGGGCACACCTGGGGTGCCGCCATATTGAATCATTCATCCATGTTCAGTTAAATTCAGCCCCATGCTC